AATCCCACTATTCGTTGGTAAAAGAGTAGCCCAAGAGTTGGCGGTGGGTGGTGATGACTAGCTGCCTTCCCTCTAGTCCTACACTTCTAAATTAGGGACGGCTAGCGCAGATAGCCCTCGTGTAGCCTTGCGCGAAATTACAAAACAAACAAACGAATAAACAATAAAAGAATATTTATCTTCCTCAGAATCTGCATAATATAAAGTAAGACGCGCAACATAAAAGTAAGCCAGCTATGATTTGTTTCTTTAAAAATTACACAAATATATTAGCGGAAATATCAGAATAATATTTGATTTTTAAATAGTTCCAAACATTGCTTAGCAAATACAGCCAGATTAATGAGCATCTTCCCTGAGCACTAAAAAACTTCACAAAGCATCAAAGTTGATGTCTATGAAGAGTTCTTCAACCGTTTTCGGATAAATTTGTTTGTTTTTGAATTTCGCGCAAGGCTACACAAGGGCTATCTGCGCTAGCCGTCCCTAATTTAGCAGTGAAAGACTAGAGGAAAGACAGCTAGTCATCACCTCTCACCGCCAACTCTTTGGATTGTGGGATTGTCCATCACATCATAACACCCTCACAACTGAAAGAACGATCATGTTTGATGGAACGGGAATTCGAACCCGCGACCCTCAGATTGCCCTAACCACCTGACCATGCCGGGCCTTCGGATATATTTGGGTCTCAGATCTTTTAGTTCATTACATTATAACAAAACTTCATATTGTTCACCTAAAATATTCACCTTAAATAAGGTACAATGTCTTTGGAATCTATCGGTGCTACACTGTTGTCCGATATACTATACATTCCACAACCATAAAGAAATTATTTTATTTTCTGTATCAGATGTACAATATTTCCATAAAATGAGTTTCTCGAACAAATTTTAGTACTAGCTAGGCTTTGTAAGATATTTCTGGATCTTTTTCTGCAAAAATTTTCATCCAAAATTTATTCATTCTGGCACATATGTCCGTGTACCTAATTCACCACAAATAATTACATTTGGAGTACTATTCATAACCCGTAAGACTAATTTACAAAATTTTAAATGTAATTTTTGACATATCAGTGTTTTAAATCCACACGTTTCCAAACCGTATGGTAATATTGGCAGTAACATTTTGTCAAAC